CTTCCAAGCGATTCCAACAAGCGGCCAAGAAAAAGAATTTATCGCTGCGCGCGCAACAATGCCGTTGCTGGCATTGTTATCAACCAGATAGACTTTATCACGAATTTATGAATATAAATGTGGAAATAAAACAGCCGTTCTTAAACCTCTCGTCACCATTTTTCCCAAGGTCGAATCACATCTCTTCCTCTCGAACGTCCATTCACAGGCATTCATTTCAGATCGATCGAATCGAATCGAAGGTTGAAAAACGGATTTCAATGGTTCGAAACGGTTAACACTTTAACGCGTTAATAATTAATACTGACCTTCCAAAAGAATCGAGATTTATCCGTACGTAGCCTTCTCCTGCATGCGAAAGCAAAAGCAACACCACCGATTCACGAGCAACGGTATATATTTCGCATTCTTTCAGGCAGGAAACACGTAAACGAAAGCGAATAAAACGTAAATATGAGCGTTATCGGAGAGGCCCGCCGAGAGGCGTGACAGTCGCGTTTTTCTCGAATCGCGCACACACAAAACTCTGACGAATCGATTAGTCGGGACACACACGCGGATCACGCTTTACCCGAGCCACGAAATGGAAAACACTTGGCCAATACTCGCTGGTTATCGAAGATTTATCTATGCGGTGACGAGCGGAATACGTGATTTACGGTGGGGAATTTTCGAATCGTATTTACACGTGGATTGAAATGGTGATTCATGGATATTTTTCGAGGAATTCGTGTGAACGGGATGAAAGCTCGCGAACGACTGGGCAGGACATTTTTGTGGGGTGGAAGGGCAGGTAGGCTCCTGGGAGGACCTAACCTGAAAGAAACCTTTCTGGTTTATCCGTGTCTGCGCTGTGTCCTCAGCGGTGCTCAACTTCTCCCTTCGAAATGGGATTCCCTGTCCTTTTCTCGCCCGCCTCGTCCGTTCCAAAGGTTCATTATCGGTCGTTGAAGCTTTCTCATCGATAGCAATCTCATCGATGCTGACTCGAAAACAGGAAGGGAACGAGGGAGGGAGTGCTCGTACGATTCTCGATAAGAGATAAAAGTGCGAATAGCTTCCCCCCGGCCAGCTTTAGATTTCAGCTTTCTCGTTTATCGCTGTTGCGTAAGATTTTTAAAATAAAATCCAGGAAATAACGAGGTTACGTTTTTTTGCAACGAAGATAAATATAAATTAATCGTGTTTTATCGTTTTATCGTTTCGATAATTCGAATTAAGTTAATCTTGCGCACAATATCGAGAAAAACAAGTTCAGAATTCGTTTTTACCTTTACTTTTAATTACAACTTTCGACATATTCCTCATACACTCGTATTATTTTTATCACATCCATCTATATCTAGAAATTATCGAAGAGATACAACAGAATCATTAGAAATTCGTACAATTTCGAAATATCGATCGAGTTTGATGATCGATTTCAACGAAACACCGTATATCGATAATAAAGTCTCGTAAAACACGATCGAAAATGAGATTCCTTCATCGTGCGTAACACACACTTTTCGAAATCGAAATTAGCAGTGGAACGACAGCAGATAGATATCTACTATCCGTGAACTGGTCAACGCTTGACGTCAGACCTTGAGACCACGAGGCGAGCAGACGACGGAGAGGGGGAGGGAGCAGCAGATGTCGTTAAACAGGGCCGAGTGAGAGAGAAGAAGTTTAGAAGAAAGAAAGGAAATGAGAGACGCTGCGGGGCGCGCGCACAGGCAGCAAAATACACAGAGGGCAGGCAGGCAGGTTTTGGGTGACTGTCAGAGCTGTAACACGCACAAAAGGCAGGTGCTGGAATGCATTGATTGCCTCTGCCCCCTCTCGCCTATCCCTCCCTCCCGTGTATCTGCTATGGGAACACACCCTTTTCTCCCAGGGAACGAGAGGAGTCTGAAAGCCCCTGGAGAATGCGAGCTGCTCACAGGGGGATTATCCGTATTTTCGCCCCGGCGCGAGGGCGGTTTCGTCTGCAACCGCTAAACTCGCCCCACTTTCCTCATTCCCCGATTCTCTTTTTCTCCACGTTTAAATGACTTGTTCTTCAATTCGATGGAAACGTCCTTTCTTTCTTTTTTTTTTGTAATTCGAAGAAAATTCATTTATTTCTATAGGATAAACTTCTCGAAGTTTACTTTGTTAAATCGATCTTGAAACGTATCGTTTTCGTGATATCGATTTCAAGATTTCACGATTTCTATAAAATTTCTATAAAAATATCGCAAATGATGAACGAAGTATTTTTCAAATCAATTCAATGCCTCGATTTAATCGCAAGAAATGCACGAAAAGTGTAGCGTGAAATTCGCCGGAAGAGCGAATTGTGAGAACGGCGGGGCGCAGTGTTCTTTTGATGAAATTTTGAAATAACCGGCGAGAGGAGGGGTTGAAAGCGGTTGGAGGAAACTTGATCACGAATTTTATGGGACCTGTAACGGGACCTGCATCACCACGGTTCTCGGTTTTCGGAAAATTTCTCGTTACCGCGGGTGCATCGAATGCAAAGTTCGTTGAAAATTCGGCAAAGGGAATTTGGAACAGTTCTGGGGGGAACTGGGGCTGCGGTTTCCGAGGGAAACGCATACCCGAATTCGGGGCGAGAGCGGGCAGCATCATGCCGATTCGCCGAGGTGGGTAAAAGCCCGCTAAATTGTTTGCCCCAACAGTTCACCGAACGAACTTTCGTTGCCTGATATTAACGTTTAATTCGTATCTCGCTTCCTTTCCAAATTCGCCCGCCAATCGAGGCGTTAACTTTTCGAATCGACAACTTTTCACATCGCGTGTTTCGATGCTCTTCGAATTTAGTCTCGGGGATCAAAAAAGGAGTTTTCAATCGTGATATGAAAAATTGCAAGTTGAACGAATGATTGAAACGAATGATTTGAAATAAGTTGATATTAAATTTTAGAAAAATTGTTTCATACTTTGTTATATACTGCGTGTCTTTTCGAAAGCGTATTTTCTTTTTTTTTTTTTTTGGAAAATTTATTATCGAGGTCGTTACTTCGACTCGTATTAAGAATTTTATAACTAGAAAATAAAATTACAGAAACCGAAATTATAGATCAATATTATATATTTCATATAACGTGCACAATATCTCGAGTATCTCGGGCACGAAAAATCGGGCGAACGAATCGTTTCCATTCCCAACATTTTACTTGGAAATTTGCAGCAACTTCCACGGAATGCCGGTGCAAACAAGTGGCTGGCTAGATTTCTCAGAATTTCCAAGACGTCGCCCTTGGACGTTGCTTGCATAATCGAGCTCAACCGTTAAATATTTAACGTCGGTTCTTTAGCTGAATGCGCGATAAAAATATTTCCACCTTTCCTCATGTGTCGAGGAAGGGGGAAGGCGACAAGTGACGCATCGCGATGTCCTCGTTAGCACCAAGATTGTGTTTGTCTTTCGGGGTCGCGAGAAACCTTAACTTAAACTTCCGGGATTCCGACTGTATCTTTTTTTTCCCCCCATACATTTTTTCCTCTCTCTCCTTTTTTTCGAAGAAATAAATATAACTGACCCAACGTGAACAACGTGGAAGTTAATAATATATCCGCTTACACGTACGATTGTTAAAATTTTGAATAATTGATGTGAAGGAAAAAGATGCGTGATTCCAAGGAAATGTATGATTAATTTTTCTGTCGAAGAACATGAAAAAGTGATATATTAGTTTTTTTTTTTTTTTCCTTAATACACCAGTCTCGTTATTTCTCACGAGAGAATATTATATCGAAATTGTATTAATTCAGAAGATACTTTAACTCGAAGTTTATAAATTTAAAATTTCTACGAGAATATTCCACCGATGTTCGTGCTTTTTCTTATCTTTCGTATAAATCGAGTTTCCAGAAAATTCAAGTTCAAAATGACACGGGTTTCGATAAATAAGTTAAATGCTATTTTTAAAAAATGACGAATTTATCACGAGATATTATGTAATTCGATTTAAAACGAATCTTTTATCTTTTATCTTCTTCGACTTCCTATATACATCTAATCTGTCTACAGAAAAAAAAAGTAATTACATATACCTCGTTATATCCTTCCTAGAGATAATTCCTATTTAAATCATTTTTCTTGCGATAATATAAATAATTTACGATTATTTGTTTTTACAGATTAAAGTCTGTATCGTTGTATCTGTAAAGTTTGTATGTTATTTACGTTTACTACTATATATTCCTACAAAATAAATTTAAAAAAATCAATTATTAAAACAATTAACAAGAAAAGTAGGAAACGACGAACATGTATGAGATGTGTAATTTATGTTTTATACAAGATGTTAATATATATATATATATATTAAGAATATCTTTGAAGATTCGATTCTAGAGATCAAAACAAACGCAAAAAGTTGATGATACAAAAATTGGAATTTATTTATTAAGTTACGAGCTATTAAAAATTTCGCGTTTTAGACGAAGCGAAGATATACACATATCTCCGTCTTCGTCACGCCGCAGTCGCGCAAGTCTTCCCGCCTCGCTTCATCTAACGCGAATCTATTTCTATCGTTTATAACTTAGATAAATAAGCCTCGACCGACATTTTTTGTACACCAACTTTTACGTTTGTTTTCGTTGTCTAGAATCGACCTTCCAAAGTTGTCCTACAAACACATCGATACCCGGTACACAGACATATACAGATGTATATCCCGTATTTTTATCGAGAGAGAGAGAGAGAGAGAAAAGAAAAAGAATTCGCGTATAACTCGAAATCCATGTTGCCGACTGTGAAACGAAGAAGGAAGAAAAAGAGAGAGAGAAAGAGAGAAAAAAAAAGGGAAAGAAGAAGATATTGGACCGAATTCGGGGATCAATCGCGCTTAAAGATGCACATAATAGGGAAGATTTTTTGTCGAGCATCTGTTAGACACGCTGCTCCACGTTAGAGGAGGGAAGAAGAGGGAAGGGGAGGGGGTCTGGAGGTCATTAAAAACACGCGCGCACCGGAGAGAAACAGGCAGTAAAGGCTGACTAACCTTTTGTTGCGCCAGCCTTAGGGACTCCTCGAAGTGTTTGTGAACTGCCTGCTCGGCGGCCCTTTGCTTCTCGAGCCTCTCCCTTTCCATCTTGGCCTCTCTTTCTCGTTCACGCTTCTCCAGCCGAGCTTCCGCTTCTCGCCGCTCCCTGGAACACGTACAAAAGTTTCAAGGTTACAACACACACAAGTTTCGATCCAGAAACCAAAACCCAACCCGCTGCCGCCTTAAACGCTCTCGAAACGTTTCTTTTTATATCGCTTCCATCGATTTTCTTTGCAACGTAACATAACATTTCTTTCTATTCTATTTCTATGCAAAGCAAACGATCGAACCTGTTTATTTTTCTTTTTTCTTTTTTCTAATCCTGATAACGATTTTGCGGTCAATTTTATTTCGATTTTCTGTTTCTTTTTTTTTTTTTTTTTGTCATCACCCAATTAGCTAAAACTGTAATGCATCGAGAATATCACTCTTCCGTATCGGTGATAAGGATCGATGTACGAATTCTTTTCTGAGATGAAGATGATATAGAAGACGATAGAAAAGACGAGAGAAATCACCCGGTATATATAAGAATCGCTTACCGCAATGTTTACCCGAGCCATCAGCCAGGAAGAAAAGCTCAGCCGGGAGAGAAATTGGCTTCGATATCGCCGATCTATTATTATCATTATCATTATATTATTATACCCGGCCTATTGCCAAATGTCGCGCTTTTGCTCCTCCCGTTTAGAAGATTGGTTCATCAGAATGCGCCAACAATTGCGCCCATTGTTGATATTCCCTTTTTGTTCTCTTTGTTCCAAATTTTACGGAAACACAATTTCTAAACGGATATAGTGCTCGTCGCGCTAGTGTTTACTTACTGTGGCGCGATAAAAAAATCCATAGAAGAAATATTCGCGAATCACTGACCTGTCAAAGGTCAGTTCTTAGTCGAAGAAGAAACGAATCTTTCTCGTTTTTTCTCTCTCTCTTTTTTTTTTTTCAAAATACAGAGAACAAGGGGACACAATATTACAAGATGATCAATCAGTGTTGAAAAAATAATGATAGGAGTAGTTTTATTTTTTAACGAATGAAATGAAAATTTACGACGAGCAGCAGCTCAGAGGAGTAGATACGAACGAAATTATGTTTATTTTATGAGATAAATATGTATAGAAGAAGAACATTTTAATTCAAATGGTGAATACATTAAACGCAACGCTCATTTTAATTATTGCGAGATAAAAGTATACTATATAAGTATTATTTTTTAAAATTAATTAATTATCTGGAAATTCTTTCTTATCTTATCTTGCAAGGTTACGTTTTTCCATGTATGTGTCAAACGATTATCGAACGATCGGCAAACAATTATCTCGATTGTATTTAATATTACGTATAACTTACATACATATCCCAATTACATTTTCAAATTTATTAAATTACGATTTTACAATATGCTCGCGTGATAAACAATCACAAAAGAAAAAAAATATATGCCAGATACATTTACTTTCTTCAAACGAGAATGAAATGAAAACTTTGCTTGAAACTACTACTACAATTCCAATGTAACTAAAACGAATCGTATCTCTCAATATGCGTAGCATCTCACGTGCTCTCTTGACTCACTTGTCCTTTCCGTGTCCTATAACGATAACTATAAATATTAATTAAAATCACGGTATAATTCCATCTCCTAAAGTCGACCGTTTATATATTACGAGCCTCAACGCGCGGCTCCTCGACCTTCTGCGATTCTTGCGGCCAGTTTCGGTTTCGACACTTGTGGCCATCCAGAGGATATATATATATATATATATACAACACAAGGCACACCATTGTGCCACGACCCCGTGTCGTGGCTCGCGAGCGTGTGTTATTCGCGCATGCGCTCGCTCGGTTCACGGGTATTATAAAAGAGCCACGATAATAACGCCGACGATGGCGTATCTTTTTTAACAGACTCGGGCCAGATAAGCGTTCATTAATGCTTGCGTAAGTTATTTATACTGATATAAACGACACACATGCGTTTATCTCGTTGCTCGGCCCATCCTATAGCATTGCGCACGATCGATAAATGCGTATTTCCTGATTCTGCCCGATGTTTTTCACGAGTCCGCTCTATATAAACGGGCTTAGATATACACCATTTATTTCCTCGTTCCTGGCCGATTACACCGGAGACGCGGTTTCATTTTTCTTTCGATACTTTTGTCATCGTTTTGTTTCCAACACGGGGTGTTATCTTCCATCGATGAAACGTGTGTTTCGTTTGCATCGAGCAAAGATATCTTTGTAAATGTAATTTATTTTATTTTATTTTTATTTTTTTTTTTTTTTTTACTTGTTCGAATAATTTAATTTTAATTTGTAAAACACTTATAAACGTTTTCAATTCATATATATATATTTCTGTATTAAATGAAGTTATATAAATGACGATGATATTGAAATGAAAGAGAAGGCGTGCTAATTGACACATCAATAAAGCTTATCCAACAGGTCTTCTTAGACTTTAGAGGAGTAATGAGCGATCGGGCATACATGTGTAATGCATATTTGTAGAAGACGGATAGAATTACGTTTTTCTAGAAAAACCATCCTCGCGGTTTTAAATAATTTAGAAAAGCGTAAATTGCAAATTGTGAAAACAAAGACTACGGATGCAAATGGAATGAAAAATATTTAAACTTTGACGCGTTAGAATTTCTGCCATTAACACGAAAGTTGCAAAAATTTCTGTCTCGGCCACGTAACAGCATCGATTAACGCCTCTTTTGTCAACCAAGAAAAACCAAAAACCAAATCTGCTCGCTGTCACATCCATTGTTATTAAAGAATTTAAAAAAAAAAAATATATAATAAAATATAAAAGATACAATCAACACAGAATCAAAAGACGCAACAGTTTGCAAAAAGATAATGCACAAACAATGAAATATCATCGATCTGAGAAGGAAAAGAGAAACGGGGCCTACGGATTTTCCTGGAAGCTTGAACGAGATACTCGATCAATCCGAGCTTATTATTATGCTTAGAACGTGGTGAAACAAGTTTCTGCATCCGATTTGCATCTCTTAAACGTAGATAACTTGTTAAATCTATCCGATTTCCGCCTTTTCTGCAAATATCACTATATTATGCAACAATTTATGCATATTTAATAATAAATTCTAGATCTTATTTCTTAACTGGAAATATGTTTCTTCATTCATGGAATAAATATTTAAAAAGGAAACATGCCGATTTGGAAAATTAAATATATCTCTCGCGTGTACAAATATTTTCATTTCTCTCGACGTTGTTGAATTGCAGATCAGAAAAAAACATTTTTTTCCTCTCTGTAAGAAAAGTTCCTCGTATTTTTCGTACGAGAATATTCCATTTCTTGGTATTCGATTTTGCTTAAATACATTAAAGTGCGGTCATTCTTTCCTGAAAAAAAAAAATGCAATTTATACTCGATGACAGAAAAAAGATTCGAAGTTCAACACAAGTCGCAACATAAGAAATTACTTCTCCATTTTGTGAGATTAAATTTAGTAAAAAAAAAAAAAAAAAAATTTTAAGATCGATGATACATTTCAACAATTTTTCGAATCTTGGATCAAACTCGAGCCAAGTGACGTACGCGTGTGAATTAAAAAGAAGCAAAAAGTTCTCTTCTCGTTTCTTCTCGGTGAAGAAGAGTAGACAAAGAGCCGAATCGTAGATACACACTTTGTCGGCGAACTTTTAATTTTATGAGCAAACTTTTATATTATATATCGCGAGCAGTTTCAAACTCGAGCCACGACGGACAACGAGGTAAAGAGGACACGTGTAGAAACTGCATCATGTTAATTTAAACATTGCTTCCCGACATTTACCAACATTCTCGGGGAATTATTTCCCCCCTCCCCCACCATCGTCCATTAAACTTCTAACAAACTTCCGCGAACGCTTACTGGTAACTTGCTAGTAACCAGAACTCGAGAACCTCGTGAAATCTTTCTCGAGTTCCCCCTCAAGTATCAGGATTGGGGGAAAATAAATTGAAATTTTTCTAATCGATAAATATTTGTATACGGAAATAATGTATCTTATCTTCTAGTTGAGAATTTCATTAAAATTATGTAACACAATTTTGTGAAGATGTAGATTAGCAATTTCAAATTATTTTCAAAAAGCTCGAATTCGAACGTAAGTGACAAATATAAAAAATATTTCCATCTTTATCGTATCGATCCATATCGAATCCTTCTCCACCGACCGAGACGAAGACGAATTGTCGGTAATTAAGAAGGAATCGATGAATTAAAAAAAAAAAAAAAAAAAAAAAAAAAAAATCCAAAATCCGTACGGCGATTGGGTGAAAACGTTGATTGGCTCGGGAGAAAAGGTTAATCAGCGGAAATGGCCGAAGGCCGACAAGACAGGAATTCCTTCTTTCTCTCTTTCTCTCCGTCGTCCATTTTTCTTTTGGCGTTGCTCAGAAATCGAGCATCGAGTGCCGGTCGATAAACCAGTCCTGTATGGGAACAGGACAGGTTGGAGCTGCGGGCAACCTTTGAAAAATCCGGTCGGCCAAGACCGGCCTGACCAGAAACCAGGGACCCCAACACAACTCTCAATAGCGATACACGGCAAATATCGCCAAAAAAGGCCTTACGCATCCTTGCCTCTTTTGTTTTGTTTCATCGAGCCTTCTCGCGAACTTCTCTCTCTCCCTTTCCTTTCTTCGTACGTGTACGTGATGATGAACACATAAACGCTTTATAACCTTTCTTTTTTTCGCGTTAAAATGTGTACGCCTCTTTTTATGGACTTGACGCGTCTACCTCGAGAAGACGTTTGGGTCGATTTACGATTGGGCATAAAAAATTCTGTATAACGCTCTATAATTAATCGTATCGTATTTTCATCTTTTCTTAAATTTCTTCTTTTCTTTCTTTTATAAACACTTTGAAAGGAACGAGAGGAAATTTTATATATATAAGGAGAGATTCTTCTCTCTCGTTTATACATACGATACATTTCGAATGTATTTTTTACTCTTCGATTTATTTATACATAAATATCATATAATATAAATATCGATAAATCGTTTTAAATAAATTCCAATTGATTTATTAATTTTACCTAGTAACTTGTCTAATACGAATCTATTTA